GCTAAAAATGCTTGAAATGCCTCTGAATTCTAAAAAGTAACAAAAAACAAACTACTGTATTGGTTTCTTTTAATTTTTTTGTTTTTATACATCTCACACTCTAATTTTATGAATGTGAGTAAAGTTTTAATTTTGTTTAAAAAAAATTTCTTTTATTTTTAAATTTTTTATATTATGTACATTTTTTTAAAAAACAATTTTTTAAAAATAAAATTTTAAAAAAAAGAAATTTAAAAAATAAAGATTTAAAAAAAAAAAATCTAAAAAAAAAAAAAAAACTATTTAAAAAAATTTTTTTAAATTTATCATTTTGTAACTTTAATCTGTTTAATTGGAATAGGTATTTCTTTTCTATCTACCTCAACAATTGCAGTATGGTTATTTGAGGTTAGTCTTATAAATATGCCTTGTTGAGAAAATATTAGTTGCAAGTTTCTTCTCCTGGTTTGTACATTCGTATTATGATCAGACATAATTATAACTGCAGCTCCAGATTCGATTGTGTTGTTCACTATCTTTTTTTGATAAACACTTCTCTGTTGACACATTTTTGTATAATATTTTCCTAAGGTATTATTTACAGACTAAAAAAAAAAAGATTAAAAATTTACTATATATTTGCCCAAATTTCCAATTTCAATTCCAAATTCTAAACATAATAAAAGTTGGGATTTGGGTTTGGAATAGAAATATTTAGGATTTAAATATATTATTATGTTTATAGTTTGGGTAGCAAAGTATATGTCTAACCCACAACCTGACCTCTTGAATTTGTAATACTTGTAATATATATTGGTTTACAACATCTTCTGAATTATTCATATTCATTTCCAAAGCATCTACATTTATTTCTAAAGTGTTTATATCAATTTCATTATTAATATCTGGCATTTTATAGACAGAATGCATTTTCTATCCAAACATAACTTTGTGAGAAGTATGTTTATAGGCTGTATGCACAATTAAATTATAAGCTATAACAAAAATATTAATCACATTGATTCAATCTTTTTTTTGGAGTTGATTATCATTGTCCTACAACAATTTTGTAAAACCATAACCAATTGTTTGGTTTAGTCTTTCTATCTGTCTTTGTGATTGCAAGTGATAGGAGCAGTCATGTTTGATTGTAATTTTAAAAAGTTCACATACTTGCTTAACAATTCTTTCAAATTTCTTTTCATTATTACTTTGAAGGATTACTAGGGGACCAAGAATTCTAAAAACATCTTTTACAAGATGTGCAGCAACTGTTTCAGCCTTTTTCTTTTTTATGAGAACAGTGACAAGATACTTAGAAAAAGTATATACACATATTAATAACTATGAAAATCCATAATTTACAGTTGCAAAATCATGAAAGTCTACTAAGTCAATCTGAATATGATGCCAAGGTAATACGGAAATAACTGATTTCATATCAGTTTTTTCTTTAACTGAAGTGTTAATTGTACAAACTGAACATTCATTTACATAAGGGGTGTAGCGATCTAGTGAAGTGGATAGGTTGTCAACCCCCAAGTGGCAGGTCTAGAGTTCAAATCCCAGTGACAGTAAAAATTTGCAA